TAAAAAGGGTTCCGGATGATAGGAACTTCCTGTCTGAAGTTACGAGACAGAGTGGCATGGAGGAGGCTGGGGACTTACAGGGGACTTCCTTAACAACTAGGGGGTTAGGATTTGGTAAAAAGGCTATATATTATCTCACTGACTGGTCTGGTGATAATTTTCTCCTCTTAACCTCTGCGAGTACAGAGCTGTCAACTTACCAAAATGTGTTTTTAAGAGCATGGATGGAGCAAAAACACATCAAAGAAATATACAGTTTATACAAAACGTTACTCCAATATATTGCCTGTCATGCGTCAGCCAACTCACTACAACAGAGGATGGCCCTGTTGGCATTAGAATGAATAGGCTTCAAAAGAAAACAGAGACACCGAAAGAACCACGTAATAGAGGATCAACCAGTTGGACCAGTTCACAAGTGAAATACTAATATAGAGCTTGTTTGCAGGTAGGAGCCTCATTTGTTCAAACTGCAGTAAGTATTAAGGGCAATCTTTCCTTTACCTGCATTATTTTCAAGACAAAGGAAGGAAATTCCCACATGGTTTCAGGTTGGGGCCATTCAATCTGCCTGCAACACAGCCAGAGTCAAGCACCACAAACGGTGATCTCATCTCCTCAAAATGTGTGACCCAGGCCTGGAGACCTCCCCTATAGCTTGGGGATACACGGATACACACACACACACACACACACACACACACACACACACACACACACACACACACACACACACACACTTTCCATCACTGTGACCTGATCAGCTTTCAGGACCAAATAAAATCAGTTTGTTAAAGTAATTTTGGTAAACTTATCTAAAAATAACATTCTACACACAATATATAGTGCCTTGACTGGAACTTGTCAGGAAGGAGGTGGACTATTTGTGTGGAGAGAAACTGCAGGGAACATAATTTCAGAGGAGTTATTGCTTCCTCTGTAAAGTGATTGTTGTTTCATGTCAGCCATCTTATGAGCGTGCAGCAAAAGCTGGCGAGTGTTGTCAAAACAGAATCTCTTCACATAAACTAACTAGGAGGGTTTCTTAGTGCATAAAAATGTGGAAAAAGCAATAAAAGCAACTGCGTCTACGTATGCAAATTTAGATGCAATAATGCGGCCAAGGGGAAATGTACAGCTGTTCAATAGCAGATGGAGTCCAACCTCCACTTCCTCCACTGACCAGACCAGCAAAGACTGAACCAGTCTCTCTGTCTGCCCCTGCAACCACAGCTCTGAACAGGGCTAACACACGTGCACACAATGCATTCTGGAAGTGAACTGCAGAGAGGCAGTGTGTCTGCCAAAGGGACCAGAACTCTGCTGATGGAGGGGAAAATCTCTGCATCCCGCCGCCGCCGCCGCCCCCCCGCCATTCCCTCAATCAGCCGTCCGGAACCAAACACTCTGACAGACTGACACACATCAAGGGACCAACGCTGCACTTCTTCAAATGCATCTGAAAGAAGCAGCAGTTCTGTGAGTGAAGGCTCCAGTACTGAGTCAGAGGGTCTGGACAGAGACCTGACAGTTGATGGATGGATACACTGTGCCTGCAAGTTAGTGTGGCTGCCCACATTTTATTATTGCTAGTAAAGCTCAAACCAATGACTTGTTGGCAATTATCTCTGTTTCATTTGTTCTATTCCACAGTATTGTGTGCTTCTCCCACAGATCAGAGGGGTTTTACTTTTAAGCACCGTGTTGTACTGAATAAACCACATTCCACATAGAGCTTTTCTGGCTAAAAGGTTTATTTTCAGCCACACCACTGCAAAATAAAACAAAAAAATATGTAGAGGAGATTTACTTCCAGATCCGGGCTGAGTAATTAGTTCCTCACACCAAGGAGGGCTATTAAACTGAAACTGAAGTTCTGGGATTTCTGTTTTTTGTCTATATGACATTCAGGTGATAGGGGCCTTACCAGTCTGACATTTACTTTGCAGCCTCAGGGAGATCTTTTTTCATCTCCAGTGCTTCTATACATCTCAAATCACAAACATACATTCAGATTACATCGCTGACAGGAAGCCACCCTATTAGGGGTCACTCAGCACACCATATCACACTCACACCATTACGATTAATTCAGCAGAGCCAGCAGTCGAATATAAAATGTGTAATAGAAAATATACATTATAAGTTAGGAATATAGTTAATTCTGAGGTTAAACTTCCAGTCATGGGGGCCTACACTACACAAGAGTACAATGTGAGACGACAGTCATAATGAACCATTGCTTATAAGACAACATGAGAGTGGGAGTGATGTGAATGCTGAAAATGACTTCACAATCATAACCCTGCTTGAGGTCTAACCAGAGGTAAATTCTTCCATATGTGAAAGTGGATGAGACCCCGTTTCTCATTACAGAGATGAAGAATAAACAAATCGAAGTCAACTCTGTTCTTTGCCACGTAGCTTGGGGATTAAACTCAAGCAAAAACAATACTGTGTAAAAACCTACCTTTCATGATGCAACCATTTTTTTGTTAAACAATGTAAGCACTAACAGATGTCACTTGTCTGCATGCATTTGTATGTGCCTCTTGTCACCAAACACAGAGAGCTGCAGTCTGCCCTTGAGCCCTTGCTATTTAACTGTCTGCAACATAAAAGATACCCTGAGCAGCCTTACAGACGGAAGCCTTCACTCACTGGTTACACCTCATGCAGTATCTGTTTCTAAATGTCTGTTAGCATACAAAGTTATTTACTCTTCCTTTTTAGTTGAAAAAACAAAACAAAACACAGACAAGTTAAAATGACAAAAATGAATAAATAAGTATGTCTTAAACTGGTTCACTAACAGTCTGAAAATTTAATTGTGAATATAAATGCATGAGTGAAGAAAGATGTGTGTTCTGGCAGTTACTCACTCTAGTTAATCAGACAACTAAGCAAGGGAGATGCTCTATTGTCTGTGTTCATATGACTCAGTGGAACAGACTGCTGGTCAGTCTGTCCATCCAGAGTCAGGCCTGAACACTGCGCACCATTAGATTAGATTAGCCCTTGTTGTCTCCCTTAGGAGAAATTTGTCTTGGGAACACGGTTGACGTAGCAGCACACATGTACAATTTGACTACAGTTTCTATGAAGCATCCCACACAGATGTACTGTATAAACATCAGAACATATACGCCAAGAATACTGTAAGATACCCTACACAAATATATTGCACAGGTGCCATATACAAAAATATTGCTCCCTGCAAATAAATATTGCACCGATGCCCTACAAATAAATATTGCACAGATGCCCTACAGAAAAATACTGCACGTATGCCCTACACCAAAATACTGCACGTATGCCCTACACCAAAATACTGCACGTATGCCTTCACCCAAAATACTGCACACATGCCCTGCACCAAAATACTGCACACATGCCCTGCACCAAAATACTGCACACATGCCCTACACCAAAATACTGCTCAGATGCCCTGCACCAAAATACTGCTCAGATGCCCTGCACCAAAATACTGCACACATGCCCTGCACCAAAATACTGCACACATGCCCTACACCAAAATACTGCACAGATGCCCTACACCAAAATACTGCACACATGCCCTACACCAAAATACTGCACAGATGCCCTACACCAAAATACTGCACACATGCCCTGCACCAAATACTGCACAGATGCCCTACACCAAAATACTGCACACATGCCCTACACCAAAATACTGCACACATGCCCTACACCAAAATACTGCACACATGCCCTACACCAAAATACTGCACACATGCCCTACACCAAAATACTGCACACATGCCCTGCACAGAAATACTGCTCAGATGCCCTGCACCAAAATACTGCTCAGATGCCCTGCACCAAAATACTGCTCAGATGCCCTGCACCAAAATACTGCTCAGATGCCCTACACCAAAATAAGGCTCAGATGCCCTGCACCAAAATACTGCTCAGATGCCCTGCACCAAAATACTGCTCAGATGCCCTGCACCAAAATACTGCTCAGATGCCCTGCACCAAAATACTGCTCAGATGCCCTACACCAAAATACTGCTCAGATGCCCTGCACAAAAATACTGCTCAGATGCCCTGCACAAAAATACTGCTCAGATGCCCTGCACAAAAATACTGCTCAGATGCCCTACACCAAAATATTGCACATCATAATTTATTGACATATTCTCCACTAGCTATCAAAATCAGTAACTTAAAGCTTTCTGTAGCTTTAGTTTTGGTTTATTCTGTCCTGTAAGCAGTTACAGAGAGAAAGTCAGTACAAGCATCGAAGTTCTCAGAGAGCAGAAAGCAGGAAGAGAAGCACAATCACCTGACCGAAACGGCAACATAGAAATACCAGCTGTTGGTCAACAACAGATCCAAATTTAATTCATGTTGTTCATAGAGGTAAAGTCAAAACCAGAAACCATTATGTTACACAACCAGTTACCAAAACAGACCAAGATTAGCAGTTGCATTTCACACATAATCAGAAACATCAGTGCTCCAAAGTAGGAAGAGATAGAAAACCAACAAACAGCCCTATCTTGTCTAGATTCCCACAGCATTTTCAAAGGCAAGGGGCCACGTGAAGAGTTAATAACGCAACTTAACTTCCCATCCTCTTTTTCATTTCTTCTTTCTGAGTAGACCAAAGTATTTTACAGTGTACTCGGACTACCATATGTCCCATTAGCTCAGCCTACGCACAAGTGCAATTGACTCACAGCCTGAAAATACATTTACTCACTGCTGTATGGGATCTGATACTTTCATGGGATGTTTTATCATTCATAACCACTGAACTAGGGATAATTATTGTCCCATAAAACAATGTCAATATATAACTTCAGTGTATTTTGCATTCTCTGACTGCCTGTGTGTGTTGTGTGTGTGCGCTTTTACATGCCAAAGCAACATGTTGAGTCACTTTTGAGGAAGTACTGTCATTGCTGGATGTGACTTAATCAAAATGACAATGTACTTCACACTTGACTCACTGACAGTGACACACATCTTACCTCCAGGACTGGCCCAGCTCCCAGTATGGTCCTCTCCACCCCACTGGCATAGCCCTTCTGGCTGAGCGCAGTCAGACAGTGGATCAGGAAGTTGGTACTCTGGGTCTTGCCTGAGCCACTTTCCCCAGAGATGACGATGCATTGGTTGACCCTCTTCCTGAGCATAGCATAGTAGGCCACATCTGCGATAGCAAAAATATGAGGCTCCAGTTTGCCCAGCTGGTGGTTCTCGTACATCTTGACGTACTTAGGGTTGTAGATGGGAAGGAACTTGAAAGGGTTGATGGCGATGAGGATGCTGCCTGCATAGGTGTATATCTTTTTCTTGTAAAAGCGTGTGCGCAGGTTGTTTAATATGCTGTCCTCATTGAGGACAGGGAGGTTACAGAGGTCTGCAAAGTTGTCCTGTGGAGGGGGAAGGAAGCCTCTGGCGGCTAGCCGCAGTGCCTCTTGCTCCTTAGATACAGGGGGGAGGTGGACATAACGGATAGAACCATCATGGTTCCTCTCCTGGATTAGGGAAAGGACAAGAAAAAAACTTTTGCATTTACTGCTGAAACTGAAATCTTTCTGAGACAGTATAATCTGGGTTATATTCTAGGTGTGAATTTCCTTAAAGTGGTGAAAGTTGTAAGGGCAGGCCCAAAAGGCATTAACCTCACATGTGTTCCTGTTACACATTGAGAAGGGTGAAAAGATATTGGGAAACATTTTGCATGTGGCTAATTCGCCTTACTTTGTTGATATACCTTTTCCAACATTAGTGTGTAATTTGTTATCTAGGTAGGATGACTGCTCGTGTTTGTTTCTCACTGAAAATGGCAGCAAAGAGGACAAGAGAGCACAATGCAATAGTCAGACAGTAGGGGGACTTCTGTCAGTGGTCCACATCCACTGAGTCTGAGTGCAAGGTGAACGGTGTACTGTCAACTCTACCTGTAGTAAGAAGTAAAAGCCAAGGCTCTGAGGATGTTGCTCCTGGGCTTTCCGAGGCCACAGCAAAAACCTCTGTGCTGGCAAGTCTCCCGCCTCTAGCACCCATTCTTCCCCGCCACATTCCTTCACCTCTGCGAGCACATACTTGCGGCCAGGGTCCAGCCCCAGTGCCGTGGCAGCATCCGAGATCACTGAGTCTGCTGTAGCATCCTTCTGCACTCTGATGAGTAGAATTGCACAAAAGTCTGATTAGTGTTGGGTTATAGTAGTTCCTCTACATATTAAATACAAAAAAAATAAAAATACTTCAACAACATCACAGTTAAACACAAACTGTTGATGCTGCTTACACATTTTCTAGCCACAATGCTGTGGCACACTTACCTAAGGTTGCAGCAGGTGGTGGGCTGGGCAGCCAACCGTGGGTAGATCTGGAGCAGGTATGAGCGGCCATCGTGATTGTTAGGGTTAGCTGGCCCACCTCCCCCTCCTCCTCCACCTGCGTTTGTTGCCATAGTGGCAGCGCCATCTCTGACACTCATCCTGAGCCAGGGGGAGTGGCCTCAGCATGCCGCACGCACTGCTTTCCTCTCACCGTGCAGCACCTGAAAAAGACAGGTTGATTGATCAGTGACAGTTATTTTCACTTTTATACAACCGCTGGTGTAATGCCAGTAGAAACAGAGTAAGACAGCCCAGATAGTGAGCAGTTTCTAATACAAAGCATTGCAGCTCTGAGCAAGCATTTGAAAATGGTTTAAAGCGAAAATTTAAAACAGAACAGTTTATTTTCCAACAAAGTACTGAAACCACATGGAGAGCTCATCCTTGGTAAATGACCCCCGGGACATAATGTAACTCTGCTACAGAGGTGTGTCTTAGATTAGCCTAGAAAAGAGGCCCATGCATGTAAATGTAACAGTTTGATAGGACACAGCCCTTATAAATGAGCAACAGATCATCTGTGAGGCCCGTGTCCTATCAAGTTATTTACTTGCCTAGACCTCTTTCTTTGTAATCAGCGATTTATCCTAAAAATATGTTAAAACTCAACATTAAAATTTTGAGTTAAGTAAACAGAGACTTTTAAACCTTAAAAATTGCTCTTTTCTTAAATGATATCCAAACAGACACTGTGACAAGTGCCCAAAGGGCAAAATTTACTAAAACTCAAAATGTGAAGCATGTATTAGGGAAATAGTTGCAACACAATGTAATGCACTTAACAAAGATTAAGGTAAACTTCAAGATATTTAGTCTGACAGCAAGCCAACGGTATAATACAGTGAATGTAACCAGTTTGCAGTTTGTGGTTTAAAAAAAAAAAAAAAAAAATACAACTTCAGTCATCACAGTAGGTTAAACAAAATTAAACTGTGGCTCCATTTCAACAAAATAGAAGAAAAATATTTGTATTGCTCTAGAAAATATGTGAGCCTGGGTAAAGGGCTCAGACATGTGCATCAGCAGTGGCAATGACTCAAATTTAATAACACAGCAGTGCATTGTTATCACATCACATGTAAAAAGCTTTGCCACTGAATCTTTACCGTAAGTTGCAGCTGCAGGCGCTGCACAGAAATTAAACCCTTCCGCTCACTGATAGCAACCAAGACACAAAAACAGAAAACATTTGGGGTAAACCACAAATGGCGTAATGCCTGCACACTATTCACTCTCACAGACAAGACACCTACAGTGACGTGTGAACGTAGAACATGGTGATGGCAGGATAACGTGTTTAGCAACTCAACTCCCTATCCACATAACTCCATTTTTTCTGCCTGGCAAGGTCCCAAAACCAAAAGGTAGAGTAAGTAGTGGTTTGTTCAGTCCTTAAAACAGATATCCCTGATTTCCTGGGTGAGGTGAAGCTGCCTTACAGATGTATCTGGGTCTTTTAAGAACTGAACCACAATAAACGACGGAGGGACAGCAAACTTCTACCTGATGAATTATTTGACTGGTTTCTGGTGACGTGACAAATATGCGCTACATGGTCTTGTGATCTTATTTCAAAAGAAAATTAAACTTTAAATACCAATCTATAACTCATCCGTACACACATGGCTATCTGCAACCTGTGCATAGAAGACAGACAATAGTTAGGTTAATCTAGGGTTGTTATCACGATAACAAATTTCATATCCAATTCGATATTGATAATTACCATACATTATTTTATAAAAAGTTTAAAAGCTGATTTTTGCTTCTGAGTAAAAGTTAAAGAAACCAGATGGTTAATTGTGGTTTTAATATATTCTTTATGGTCAGAACGTGACAAACACTTGCAGAAAAATGGATCTCTTAACATATCTGAGGTAAAACATTCAAAACAATTATGATAACAAAACAAACAAAATAAATATCTTAATAGAAAAATAAAGTACTAATTTGTTTGTGATTCAAATTAATTAAATCAAATATTTTTTGAACATTTGTTATATTTTTATTGAAGAAATTATATTAGAGAGATTATATTGCGATAATTAGCATTGCTTTATTGTCCAATTCTAGGTTCATCCATGTATGAATAGCAGTTTTCCACATCTACTGTGTAGTGGTAGAGTCAGTATAAAATCATGTACAGCCAAAGCGTCATTATAATTAGCACTCAAATCACACTCAGGTCACACTGCAGGTTCACTTCACCCCACACACCCAAATTACTGACTAACTTTACATCATCAGCGTTGAACAGAAAGCCTGGCCAACATTACCGATTCATTTAAAGGCAACCCTTTAAAGTAGGTATTTCAGGAGTGATTCAGTGCAGCATCCAGCTAGACCACAGCCAAAAGAAATGTGATCCAGGTTAAAGTTGTCTGTAACAAATCTGAATGCAGAACAGTGATCTATAGTTGAGTGTGAATCACACAGACAGCAGCTGGGTAAAGTTCTGTCTAATGATGGATCATGTAGCGATCTGTAATGCATGCTGTGTAAACTCTAAGTTCCCCTCAGGGAAACCATAACCTGGTTTAAATCACTGTAAGGCAAGCAGACTGCACTGCTTTGGTAACCTGATCCCGGGCCAGTTTATCACTTTTATCATTAGAGCGGAGACAGTTTATTTTCTCAACCTGAAAAATAAGAAATGTTATAGTCTGAGATATGCCCCAAAAAAGCAGGCTGAGGGAAGAGAGGCTCTCACAGATGTTTGCATGCATTATGAAATCAAGTTCTCCATTCCTCCATTACAAGGTTTGTTTTTGCTGAAAGTTTCCAATGACCGATATAACCAGTTGTGCTCTGTGGATTTAACATGAATAATACAGACATTCTACTAAGTAGCCACCTCTGCTTAATCAACAAGGACATTAAACTAAACCACATAGTACTGCTAGTATATGGTTGGTTATATCTACCCATTAATCTGGAGTTGCTTTCACAGATTCTTTGTTCAAGCATGTTTCAGATACCTTTTCTTTTTGCTTCAACGACACATGAGCAAGTTCTGTTCATGTTTCCGTTTGTACATATTAATAAAAAGCAATAATAGGAATCTGTTTAATACATGCAAAAAGACAAAGATCACTACATATTATAATGGACCAGAAACAAAACTGCATCAACAACTCTGGAATCATTTAGGTCACAGTAGACAATTAGAGGGAAAATAGAGAAACTTGAGACTCATGAGCTTGTGCCTTTGCCAGGCTAGCTGACCACAGTCCCAAAAACATGCAAGCCTGTAAAATGCCAAGGCATGCAAAACTACATTTAGACCACAAAAGACAGCATCATCATTATCCTCCATCATGGGCCCTGTCTGCTGTGGCTTTGGAAAGCCTAGGGCTCCTGAGCTGCAAGTTTCAAACGAGCAAACATAAAGCTTCAGTATCTATGTGTAAGACATAAATCATTTCATTGTGACATCGAGAAAACTGAACAAAGAAAAAGAGCGGAAGGCAGAAGGAGACAGAGAGAGAGAGAGATACAGGTAAACATCTAAAAAAGTGAGACAGAAAAGAGAGAAGTCCCTGGGGACAATCAAAGGAGACAGAGGCTTTGAGATAATACAGCTTCCTCCCTGCGGAGGAGATCCTTTGCAAGGATGCCCAGCATTCCAAGATAAGTCCTCGGGTTGTCTGCTTTGCGTAAGCTTAGCCTGGCACTTTAGCTGCTTACTGAGGGTTGATGGGAAGACACTGCTTACAGTGGGCAGGAGGAGGCAAACTAGGAAGCTTTATTTTATTTATTTATTTATTTTTTAAATAGGGCTGGGCTATATGGCCAAAAATGTTATCACGATAAAAACATTTCATACCATGCGATACTGATAATTATACCGATAAATGTTAAATCATTATTTCTTTCAAGTTGATTTTTGCTCTTGAGTAAAACTGAAGAAACCAGATGGTTAATTGTGTGGTTAAACTATTCCTTATGGTCAGAATGTGAACACTTGATGTCAAACAGTGGATCACTTAACAAATCTGAGGTAGAACATAAAAAAAAAATCTGATTAGTAAATCTTTTTTCAGTCCCTTTTCCTCAACAAAATAAATATCTTAACAGAAAAATTAAGTGCTGATTTGTTTGTGATTCAGATTAATTAAATCAAACATTTATTGACTATATATTGAACATTTGTTATATTGTTACTGGGGAAAATTATATTGCAATAATTATCATTATTGATTTATTGCCCAGCCCTATTTTAAAAAGGTACCACTCATCCCAACTGGACTCACCTTATCCCAACTAACCCCTCATTATCCAGTCATGGAGAATAGGCTTGCGGTACATTAATTCCACTGTATTCACCAGAAAGATTTTTTTAAAAAGGGTTGGCCTACACACGGAAATGTTACTGAGCTGGTTTATCAACACAACAGAAACTGAGCCAAGTACAATCAACAGAAACATCACTTACTGAAAAATAAGATTTCTAGTCAGGCTTTATATTTTTACATTTTTAAGATTAAGCTCCTGCCCTGACTTCCAATCCTCTGTTGCAGGGGAACCATTAGATAAAATTAAACACTGAAAGTTACGGCCCGTTTTATATGCTGTAATTCTGACAAGCAGAATTTTTAAAGAGAAAGAGTGTACAAAAAACACTGACTGTGTTGTGTGTTGCATGTACACAGGAAGAATAAAGAACAGTAAATACCCATCTGGCAAACTGGAAGGAGAAAAGAAAAATAGCTGCATAAAACAAGCACTTCAGTTGTAATGAAGTTGGACTTGGTAACAAGAGGGAGTTGTTTGACAGTCACATGCAAATGGGAAATAAGCCAACCAGGTCTTACTAACATTCTCTCAACTCCCACTCCTACTGTCTTCTTCATCCACCTTCAAAGAAACAGCATAAAAGGTTCCACCCAAACAAGAAGGAAGAGGAGGAGTAGTAGTAAGTCTGCAGTGCCAATTAGTGGAAAGAGGAAAAGAAATATTTTGCCTTTATATGGCCAGTTGTTGTAGAGTTTATGATCTCACTTAGAGATGTGTGAAAGCCTTGAGTGTTAGGCTCTTAGTCTTTGCTACAGACAGTACATTTTGTTCCTAATGGACCTCCCAAGACTGGAACCCACTCATATATACAGACTGTATAAACAGTCAGTCAGTGCTGAGACACCACTGACTATGATCTTG